TCTCACCGGTTCCTTCCCCATACCAGGCGAGTCAAATGTCCCTACCCTTTATCTTGGAGAAGACAGGCTTGAACATAACTTATCAGTTCGGTAAATATTGCTCGGAGGTGCACTAGACTCCGTGGTCGGTCCATTATAGAAGCGCCTTGTTCCCTTCGAATAGCTGGAGAGAGCTGACTCAGTCTTCAAGAATTTCATGTATCCTTCCACGGCAGATCATGGAAGGTGATTGGCGGTAGATAAGTGCCAAGTCCTTATTGGCCCTAGAGAGTCAGACCGCAGGCCTAGTGTTAAATGGTTGACCATTGCCAAAATAAGGGGTGGAACCCTGGGTCTGTATTAGATAGTGGGAGGAGTAGTCCTTTCCTCCGGTAAGCTGGTGAAACAAAATTTCGGTAGTGTGTCCTGGGAGTGTGTTGAGAATAGGGACTCGGGCTGCATCCAATGGGCTGAGGGCAGCCATCGGCATCTTGGCCGCAGTGCGGTTTCAAGGTATTGTGCACTTGATTTCATGTCCTCAGTAGATATCCATTGTGCCTCTAGAGGAATAGAATAGGGTATATGTTCAAATTGTATTAATTTACATGATTCATAAAATAAATTGTATAACTTGTTCAGTGATATTCTCTTAATTCCCCTTTGATATATTTCTCTACTTTGTCATTTTTATGTGTTGAATTGGAACCCCCCCCCCCCCATGTTCTCCTCCATTTAATAGATATTAAAGTTGCCCTTGGATTTAAATAAGCAAAGTAAATTAAACAAACTAATTCCCAAAATTTATTACTGAAGTTCCTATTACCCGGGAGTTCCATGATTACTGATTCCTTGCCTTCCTGGGGGAACGGCGATAGACACATTCAGGTATGGTTGATCGGGAAGGTGGTGGCAGTGTTTTAATGATTTTAATTATCAGTTATAAATTAATAACCCTTATTCTTGTAGTGTTCTCCTCATCTAATACTCAGCTTATATTCGTGGCAGTCCAGTGAGAGGTTATACTGGACTGTAACAGTGTTAAGCTGGGGTATTGAGTGAAGAAGAAGGAGGGTAGGAAAGATTCATTCAAGGAAGATTCAGGGTTATTACACATACATGCATGCATACATACATACATACATATATACATACATACATACATACATACATACATACATACATACATACATACATACATACATTCATACATACATACATACATACATACATACATACATACATACATACATACATACATACAGTTCAGTCCTTGGACCTATACTGTTTCTGATATATGTAAATGATCTCCCAGAGGGTATAGAATCGTTTCTCGCAATGTTTGCTGATGATGCAAAAATTATGAGGATTGAAACTGAGGATGATAGTAGGAGGCTACAAGATGACCTAGACAGCCTGAGTGAATCGTCCAACAAATTGCTGTTGAAGTTCAACCCGAGTAAATGCAAAGTAATGAAACACGGCAGTGGAAACAGGAGGCCAGACAAAGGATACAGAATAGGAGATGAAGTACTTAATGAAACGGACAGAGAGAAAGATCTAGGAGTTGATATCACACCAAACCTGTCTCCTGAAGAATAACGTCTGCGGCATATGCGAGGCTAGCTAACATCAGAACAGCGTTCAGGAACCTGTGTAAGGAATCATTCAGAATCTTGTACACCACATATGTAGGACCAATCCTGGAGTATACGGCCCTGCATAGACCGTACTCTGTCAAGCACAAGACGAAGCTGGAAAAAATCCAAAGGTATGCCGCTAGACTAGTCCCAGAACTAAAATGCATGAGGTACAAGGAAAGGCTGCGGGAAATGCACCTTATGACACTGGAAGAGAGAAGAATAAGGGGAGACATGATCAGAACCTACAAAATCCTCAGGGGAATCGACCGGGTAAACAAGGATAAACTATTCAACACTGGTGGGACGCGAACAAGGGGACACAGGTGGAAACTGGGTACCCACATGAGCCACAGAGACGTTAGAAGAAACTTTTTCAGTGTCAGAGTAGTTAACGGATGGAATGCATTAGGCAGTGATATGGTGGAGGCTGAATCCATACACAGTTTCAAATGTAGATATGATAGAGCCCAGTAGGCTCAGGAATCTGTACACCAGTTGATTGGCAGTTGAGAGGCGGGACCAAAGAGCCAAAGGTCAACCCCCGCAAGCACAAATAGGTGAGTACAGGTGGGTGAGTACATACATATATACATATACGTCAAATTACAAGGAGTTGATTATGTAGTAATTAGTTGTTTTTCTCTTTAACTGGATGATAGAGGGGCAGTCTTTAACGTGATTGGGAATACACACACACACACACACACACACACACACACACACAACACACACACACACATACACACACACACACACACACACACCCACACACACACACACACACACACACACACACACACACACACACACACACACACACACACACACACACACACACACACACACACACACACACACACACACAGGGCCTATGGCTACGG